TCTCATTTAGCTGCTGGTTGTGCAGAAGAGCTCTTAGCGCCACAACTGAAGCTGTAATCCAATGCAGCTACTTCAAGACATTTATGTTGACTCTAATAGGGTTTGCTTCAGAATAAACAGGGATAGGATCGTTAACCCTTCTGTCAGCATCGATGATGCTATTACAGTTATCAAGAAATCAAAGCACAGAAATTCTATTTGGTAAAAAAAAGTTTGGTGAAATATGCCAAATACAGTATTAACAGAAATCCTGTGAGGCAATTGAAACTGGAAATGATTTGCAGAATCAAGAACACCAGCGTAGTCTTGCCTATAATTATTATTGGGGGGGGGGGGGGGGGTATTCTGTAAATTGCCCACAGTACCAGCAATCACCTATTTTAGGAGATATTTCCAATCACTGGCCAAGTATTTGCTACATTAGTTTGTTTCTTTTTAATTTTTTTTGGACATGGCACTCTGTTAGCGAACCAAACAGCTTTAGCAGGAACAACATCTAAGATGGACTCTACTCTCAACACAGATGGTGCCTATTGAAGGATAATGTCTTATTGTACAGTGCATCAGATGTTTATTTTTATAATTGCACACAGTTGTTTTTCTATGTTTACAAATTAAGTTATTTATATATGGTTTTATATGCTGAAGCTAATTATTATTTTTCCAGGTATTCGATTAATGTATGCTTTTTAGAAATACTTGATACTTCAACAGTACTATTTATATAATAACTGGTTTCTTTTGCAACTATAACACTATGGTACCTGTGAATGCCTAGAATGAGAAGAATAGTCTTAAAGTGAGGCAAAACTATTTTCTGTGAAATCTTCTATTGAATGTGGGGGGGAAATATACTCAGTTACTGTACCATATCTTTAGCCCATATCTGCTTTTAACCAAGATTGCTATTTTCATATCCTCACAATAAAAATAATTTTCTATATATGGAAATGACAGAAAAGCTCCATTATTTCCTGGCCTATTTTGAATAGGCTATGCATCAAGAGATGTTGCTAAGCTTGCCCCCCCCCAATCTCTTTCATCAGTTTTCCTTTTTGCCTTGTTCCAGACTTTGTTAATATATTAGGAGCAGCAAAAAAGAGGTAATGTAGAAGATAAATGCTGCGAGTCTTGTCTGTCCACCACTACATAAAATGGCAGTTATGGAACTATTGCAACAGCATAATGTTAATGGTTTAGCTACTGGCACCCTTCCACAAATCTCTTCCTTGGATCAAAATCAGTAACATTCAAGTAGCCTAAATTGAAGATTTTGTTATATAGTGAGCGATACCCACATCTAGATGATTCGGGAAATTTGCTGAAGTGGTTATACAAAGGATAAAGAATGAATAAGTGGGGCATATACAATCATTTTATTACTTTTTAATAAAGTAAAAGACAAGCAGGACTCCTGAAGAAAAAGTATGTGGTGCAAGAATAAAGGAAGGGGAGAAGAGGGACTACAGCTCACAGGAAATGTCTGTTTTTATAGGTAAGTCTACAGAGTTATAGAGCACACCCAAGAAAGGATTGTCTTTTAAAACATGCTGGAATGCCAGAGTTTCCAACTCTGCAGTTCTTCAAAGCATTCTATCAAAAAGGGGAAATATTTCATTAAATGCTGCCACTTAAAGCTGTTTCTCTAATAAAAGAAAACATTATTATTATTTTAAAAAACCATATACTGTACTAAAATCTACTTTATGAGCAAACACTCATAAAAAAGCCCACAAGCCAATGCTTGGGAAATTGTTGTATTTTAAGACATGATTTGACCTTTTAAAAGGAGTAAAGGATTTAAAATTTTTCAAACTTGAGTTCTTGATAAATAGAAGTCTTACATTACGAGTTCTGCCCCAAAGGCCACACATGAACATTACTAGAACTGAGAATTTCCCAAGTAAGAATCCTCAGACACCTAGGAGTCTATTATACATCTGTTCAGATTCCAGGCTCTTCCAACACTCTCGAACAGGAATGAGCCTCTGGTCGCCAGCTGCTGCTGGACTCCCATCATCCCTGACAACTGACCTGCTGGCTGGGCCTAACAAAAGCTGAAGTCCAACATCCCATGGGATCCCCATTGCTGCTCTAGGCCTAAAACCCTATATGCTGTCACACATCAAGCCAGAAACATTGACTGTGTTCCTGCAATTCCGATTAAGGTGCTTAAAATGGCTCCTCTTGCAACACTGTGTTCCCCTTGAAACATCTGGGCATATTTGCAGAAGACCAAGGAGGTCCCACAGTAATGGCCCCAAGCGCAACCAAAGCCAGGAAGTGAATGATTTCAGCAGCTTTTAAGCATGTCTGTGCTAGCTTTTGCTGCTACGGGCCTCTAGATTGCCCCACCAATTCACAAGGCAGGGTCTTTGGTTCTGCAGTGTACTCCTCAGAAATAAATATCGTTAAACCAGTGGCTTCTAGTTCCTTGGAGAAGTCCTGTGGAAAAATGCAGAACAAAATTTGAATTAGTGCAGGGGAATATGCAGAGCTAATCACTATGCTTGCAAGCTGTCCTATTAACACTGTCCATAAGTGCTATTGCTGCTGCTGCTGCTGCTGCTGCTGTATTCTTTTAGTCATTTATACTGACTGCTTTTTTTACCTTACTGTACTTGGAGGGCTTTCACTGAAGTACAGCACAATTGCTTTCTAAATAAATAAATCAGCAGCATCATACAGCACACTTACTTTGGTGTGGTTCCTGTGCCTTTACATCAGTTTGTTCCTCTTAATTTCTAGTTCCATGGGAACTGGAAAAAATTAGAAACTTTTATGTAGGCTGAGGTGAGACAGTATTTTCAATTAAAATGTATGGGCTGCCTTTCAACTGCAAAGTGGTTTATACAAATAATTAAAATACTACAATGAGCTGACAAGCAGAGAGATGTAGACTGTTTTAAATATACAGGAAAAACTAAATGCCAAGTCTGCTCAAGAAGTCTTTCGCTATCCACATGAAGATTGCAATAGTGGACCTGGCAGATCCTGAGAGGGATTGCTTAGAAGGTAGAATCTTTCCATGATTGGCACCCTAATTCTGGGAGGATGCCCCCTCACTACATTGGTGGTTAGAATCCCAACATTGCGATGGTCCTATAAAAACCGATCCTGAATACCAGGTGTTGTTGGGGACATGGGTTGGATGAACCTGTTGGCTCGCCAGAGTGGTTTGAACTACAACTCCTTTTCATCCCTAAACGATTTGCCATATCTGGCTGCGGCTCATTGATAGCCAGAAATCCAGCAACACCTGGTTTAGGGTTTTAAACAGTCAAAGCCAGCAACTTGGATTTAGCCCAAGAAACAAACTGATACGTCACTTACTCAGCAAGGAGTTACATGAGATCAGTCTGTAGCTATCACAGCCAGCATAAGGGAAACAAGAAGTAAAGTGTTTTGTGTGTTAACTGTGCTCTAAACCCCCCAAAACCTGAAATGGGCATGCTTACCGAAGGCCAAGGCAGTTTCTGGAGGTCATGCAAACAGCACTGTATCTCCGTATCTGCCATTAATCCATGCTCAACAAGACCACGAAGCATGAACAAGAACAAATCCCACTGCAAAAGAAACGGAGCATCAGGGCCTCTAAGTAATATGCCAATGAACTTCCTTGTGATTAAAATCCTGCTTAAATGAAAATACTGCCTGATACATCAAGGAAACAGTTGCATGAAATCATACACCAGGCACAAGGCTAAGAAAGAAAAGCCACATCTCTCCTACCCAAAATTGTGAGGGCGATTTCACACCAGAAAGGCACACTGCCTAATCGCATTTGCCAACTGATGGTTTGGAAGGGGCAGGACAAGAACGAACCCAGCGGGCAAGGCACAAACGCCATGAAGCTGTCTTGCACGGAAGCCTGCAGCTGTTTCTCCCGCTAGCCAAAAGTTCCAAATTAGATCCTATGCTTTTTCCCTAGATGGGAACGCTACTAATTGGTTATGTGTGTTGACCTTTGGAAGGAATAACGTGTTCCACCAATAACAAGTTCATCCATCTAAAAGCCTGGAGGTATATCATGCTCCCCACATGAACTCCTGAGGATTCTGAAACTTCCCTGGGACTAGGCACAGAAAGATGGAAGAGGCAGAACATACATACATAGGGAGGCAGGATCACCTAAACGTAATTTCTCCGGCACAGCTGGTCTCCATTCCTTATATCACCACCTCAGTTTGTCCATTTATTTATATTTATTTATTACAGGATTTCTTACCTGCCCTTCACTGTAAACTCCCAGGGCAGGATATAACAGTACAGCCATATGATTTAAAATCTACCTAAGTGAGAAAAGGCTTGGACTTCAGGAGAGGCTGGATGGGTTTTAGGGATAGCGTAAACCAACAGTGTCCTACAAAGAACTTACATTAATCAGTAACAGGATTACAGCATTAAGACAGTTATTGAACATCTCTATTAAGAATGTCTATTGAAACCAAGTATTGTGCCTTGCAACATGTAACCACAAAGCTTTTGAGTGTAACCAAATAACATTCCTGCTTTGTTTTAAAGGTGCTTCATCCTTGTAACATCTTGCTGCCGGTAAATAAGAACACTACCGCAAAGAGTTACTGCTATAAGACCTCTGCTGTGGGAATATAGGGAGAAATTAACTCTAAATAGTGACCACGTTAACCCAGCACCCATCAGAAATGAGGATGTCTGTCATGCCCCTCCCAGGCAAAGTAAGTGTCTACCAGTTCTCCCCCCCCCCCCCCCCCCCCCCCCCCCCCCCCAAGAAAGTCAAAAAACTCACAAGGGTTGTAAACCTGGTGGCCAAGAAGGGTTCACTGGTTGCCAGCTTGGCAATCCCTGAACAAAATATTTATTTCCACATAGGGTAAAGGTAAAGGGACCCCTGACCATTAAGTCCAGTCACAAACGACCCATGGTGTTGTGGCACTCATCTCGCTTTACTGGCCGAAGGAGCCGGCGTTTGTCCGCAGACAGCTTTCGGGTCATTGGCCAGCAAGATTAAGCCGCTTCTGGCGAACCAGAGCAGCGCACGGAAATGCTATTTACCTTACCCGCCAGAGCCACTATGCCACTTTGCATGTGCTTTTGAAACTGATAGGTGGCAGGAGCTGGGACCGACAACAGGAAGTCACCCTGTTGGTGGGGATTCGAACTGCCCAAATCGGCAAGCCCTAGGCATCTGTGGGTTTAGACCACAGCACCACCCAGCGTTTCCACATATACTCTCCCCACTGCGTTTCCCACCTATATACTCACCTATATCTATCATCCCGAGCGTTCTCCATCCACCTATATCTCTCACTGGCACCTCTTGCAGAAATAGTATGTGACAACTTCCTCTTTCACTGAAACAGTGAAAGCCAAGCATTACCCCAGTCTTATGTTAGAATATATGCCAAACATTAAGGAGCACAAGGAGGTTTAGGCAAGTGGCCTTTGAAGCACTCGGAAGCCCCCCACCTTGTCCTGTTTGTTTTCCCCGCGAGGGTAGGCAGGCATTTTCCTACTGAACGATCAGCTGCCAAGGGCACAGGTGCCTCAAAGTCTTCTTTCCCCAGATGGAGAGCAGGACTTCAGAAGGCTAGAGATGAAGCGGTTCTTTGCTTGCTGCTGCTCCGGCTTCTTTGGGGCTGGGAAGGTCAGCCCATGGATAGGAACACAATCTGAACTAGAAGCAACTGAGATAGAAATGCTGGACTTACTCATGTGAGTTGTTTTTTAATTCTTAAAAAGCGACATCACACCATGATGGAGGGCAACTCTTTCCATCCACGCAAGAGGAGAAGGGCTTCAGGAACTCCCAGGGTATGGGGTGAGCCCACTCGGTTTAGGAGGCCTTCACAGCTAACAAATGAACCTCAGCTTCCCCAAATACTGCTGTGGGATCATGCCTGGACCAAGCGATCATCATCTGAGGCCCTTCTTCGTGTGCCTCATCCATGAGAGGTCCAGAGGGTGGCAACACAGGCCTTTTCTCTGGTGGCTTCCCATTTGTGGAATGCTCTCTCCAGGACGCTCAACTGGTGCCTTTGTTGCTATTTAAACAATCTATGGTCTGACTATACTTATAGTTATTACTGTAGTACAGTGGACCGCTCAAGTTGCGAACGTGATCCATGCAGGAAGCACATTCGCAACCCACAGTGTTCGCAACCTGCAGTGCGCATGTGCGGGTTGCAATTTAGTGCTTCTTGCACATGCGCAAAGTGCGATTTAGCGCTTCTGCACATGCGCAAGTGCCGAAACTCGGAAGTAACCCGTTCCAGTGCACAACCCAAAATCGTGCGACCTGAAGCATCTGTAACCGGAGGTATGACTGTATTTTTGTGTTTTTATATTGTAAACCAGATGATTCTCGGATAAGAGGGGTATAGAAAATAAATACATAAGCAAGCAAGCCTTGACGGTTTGATACCATTCAGGACAGCCACTCCTCCAAAATGAGATGGTCTAATTAAGATCGAAGGGAAGAGGAACAGGGATAAGAATTACAGCTCTTACCTAGAAGGGAGCCAGCTCTACTGTGCACTTGGCCAGTTTGCTGCTCTGACGCTGGGCATATGAACTGAAAAACACAAAGCTGAAAACTGACTACGAAGAAATGCTTTCACAGGTACAGAGAATGTATCTGAGGCTGCTGTCTTTATCAAACACTTTGCATTTTGAGCATTCAAGTATTGCAAGCAATTACGAAGACATGGCTTTATATACAGGCCAGCAGGGGGTTTGAGTCTTTCCCAGTGGATAAAAGGGGGAAAGCTGTTAACTAATATATGTAATGTGCCTTTCATATGATTTACAAAGCAAATTCCCTAAACAAGTAAACCTTCAGCAGTTTAATTTAGAAATTCTCTCGCATACACATAAACCATAAGTTAATTAGGGAAAGTGAAAACAACTGCTGAACCTAGTACATATATTAACACTGCTCCTCCACCCGCCTCTCTCTCTCTCCATCTCCACTGCCGATAAAAGGCTACGTCAGAAATAATCTGCCAAGTAATGCACTCATGTCTACCTTTCTGCATCCAAGGGTCTGGCTCAACCTTCCCAACAAATTTTCCAAATCGACAAACTGATTGGCTTCATCCTCATTCCTTGGGCCGACAGCAAGGCACAGCACATCCTAGATATAACAGCATTTGTGACTCAGAATGCACGTATATGTTCTGGAATCCTAGAGAGCTCTGCTAACCATATAGAAAAGACAAAATATCACAGTGAAGCCTGGGAAAGGGCAAGGAAGGCAGAACAGGGCTGGGCTATCCCACCCATTTCCCCATCAAATAAGCCTCCTTGTAGACAAGGATGCTTAGAAATATGTCACATGGTAAAAGCTTTGGGTGGGAGAGTGGTAGCTTTCGTCATCAAATGAATTACCGTATTTTTCGCCCCATAAGACGCACTTTTTCCCCTCCAAAAATGAAGGGGAAATGTGTGTGCGTCCTATGGGGCGAATGCAGGCTTTCGCTGAAGCCTGGAGAGCGAGAGGCATCGGGGCGCACCGACCCCTTGCTCTCCAGGCTTCAGGAAGCTATCCGCAAGCCTTGCAAGCCCAGTGGGAGTTCCCGCGGGCTCACAAGGCTTGCGGGCATCAGCCTGCAGCCCGAAGCACGGGGCACCCTCATTCCCCCCCCCCCCAAAAAAACGAGGTGCATCCTATGGGCCGGTGCACCCTATAGGACGAAAAATACGGTACTAATGGGAGCAAGTTACCTAAAGCAGAACCTCCATAGACTGGATCCTTATCAGGACTGGAGCCTTACAAGACAAATTGGGTGGTGCCACCTACCTGTTAAGTCACGTGGCATCACCAATGACATCACATGATTGATAGGCAGGCAGCAACCACCCAACTCTCAAAATGTGTGGGGTTTCCAAGTACCCAACAGCCAGCTGGGAACCTGTTGCAGCTTCAAAGCTGCTTTGCCCTGGCAGCCACCTCCATTCTCCTTTAAAGGTGGGGGGCAGCTCCTTTGAAGGTTTTTGCAACGGACTTTCAGATGAAACCCCCACACCCGTTTCAGCCTCCGAGGAAAATGGCTGGAAGTTCCCTACCATGACCTAAAAAAGGATCCCCTCCCAGGCCCACAGATGATCTTCGGAGGCCCTGCTTTGTCTGCAACCACAAAGGTGTCACAGGCAGCTGCTGGGGAGAGGACCTTTTGGGTGGTGACACCCCAGTTGGTGAATGCTCTCACTTCAGAGGCTCGCCTAGCCTGCCTGCCTCTGCAACTTTTTGGGTGCCAAGTGAAAACCTTTTTATTTTTATCTAAAATCTCTTTATTTAATTTCTAAGCTGTATTGCTTTGTTTATTTCACAATTTTATTGTTACTGTAAACCACCCAGAGAATTTTGTCATTGGGAAGCATATAAATATGTTAATAAATAGCCAAAATAACAACACAGGTTAAGAGGAGAGAGCAGCGGATTCATACCTTGATTTCGTTTATGATCTGCGAGGGGAATGCAGCCTGATGCTGACAGTCTGGGGAGCACCCCTTCTTCTTCTGCACAGCTTCGCTAGTACTAGGCAGAGAAAGCGCCTGCGTTTTCAGCATGCGGCTGAACGTGGCCTTCACTTCTCTCTTAATCAAGGCTGTAAAAGGAACCAAAACATACACTCGCTTTCACACCCTGGACACTGAAAACTGGACACCCATTACATAATACAGAGCCACCTCCCCGCACCAGCCTTATGTGGTTCCTCCTTTTATATCAGCACTCATATGACAGTTCACCTCTGCAAAGTTCAAGCAGCATAATCTGAACAAGAGAGGGCAGCCTTTCTGTGTTATCCTCAGGGGTAATCTGTCAGGGGCTGGAAGGCAGCAAAATAGGGCCACTTGTTTCAGTTGTTTCTATTACCTGCTTCTCATTCACTCCCCTGCAGCAGGCTGCCGGTGAGAGACTGACCCCTCTCGCAAGAGTTCTGAATTGGGCCTGGAAACACCCATGGAGCCAATGAAGTGGTTTCAGTAGTGGAGTAACATGCTCCCCACCCCCAGCTCCAGTTAGCATCCTCGCTGCCACACTTTGAACAAGTTCCCAGGCGCTTTTCAGAGGCAGCCCCATGCAGTGTGTTGCAGTAGCTCATATGTGATGTATCTAAAGCAATGTTTCCCATTTGGTGGTCTGTAGACCTTCGGTCGCATGCTGATACCCACCCAGGGGGTCTGTGGCATGTACCCATCAGCTGTGTGGGACATCCCACGGGGGGGGGGCATTCACACAGGTCACATGACTCATGCAGGAGCATGGCCGGAAGATGCACATCCCAATTTTGTGCTGGGACACGTTGGAGGGTATGGTAGCACCATTCACACAACAAAACATTTTCAAAAGTAGAGGGTCCATGGCTTGGCTTTTGAAAAACGAGGTCCAAAGTACTTAAGATAACTGGGAACCATAGATCTGCCTCTTTCAGAAACAGACGCAGTTGGCACACCCGCTTATACTGGGAAAGGTCTTTTTCGCCACAGCCAACAAATGGCACCTAGGGGTAAAGCACATAGAAACAGTGCAAAAGCCTACCTGTGATGTTGGTGGTGAGCCAAGTGCAGGCCTTCTCGGTAGCTAGTCCCACCGCAATATTTGCTGCACAGCTCAAAACCTTGGGTGGAAGAGCAGGTGAGATTTATAGTTATTTCCACTGATTACATTCAAGGCTGTGAATACACCTTCAACAACAGTCACAACAAATCAATACAAAGCTGCAGCAAGCACAAGAAATCAGATGGAAAATTAGCCTCAGATGAAAATTGAGGGACTGATTTTGGTCTCTCACCATCCTGCTGAAACGATAAATGGGGATTGGCTTCAGCTCCTTCAACTGCCGCTAAAATGTTGATTAAGAGGAATATAAAGCAACTGTTCCTTGAACGGCCCAATATGGCAATTGGAACATTTTATTTTGTAGCTGGAAAAAATGCAGGGAAGCATTACTTGGGCCTTAAGAGCTAAGAACTGTCACACCTCCTTTTAACGTGACTGACTGAATGAGGATGTTGAGATTTTAGAAACAGCTTTAATGTTTCAAATGCTTGTTCGTTTTAGCAAAAAGGCCTGGCTATATTAGATGATCACGAGGTTCAGAAGTTTTTGGCTTCTGGCCATTTTTAAGTCATCATGTCAAAAAAAAAAGCACAATTTTCCAATGTAGAAAAAGCAAAAAGAAAGCATCAGGGGGAAAAGGACAAGTATCCTAAAATATACATACAGCTGCAGATGTCTCTTCTGGCAACAAGATTTTCACAGCCTCAGGGGCCTTCTTCCTGCAAAATCTGTAGATGTACATAGGCATTATAAAAAGCACCGCCTGAAACATTATATGTAAGACATGATATTAGAAAATCTGTATTTTTAGTCCCCCCAGGGATGCAGCCCAAATATGAATTCAAATGGATTCAAATTGCTGGGAGTAACTGCAAGCAGAACAGTTTCCTACTCAGCTCCCTCTAAAGTTGGGTACCTACACCTGAAAGCCAGAGGGGAAACTGAGCCAATCTGCCAGTAGTTATCCTGGCTGATACCAAGGTGAGAAGTGAAGTGACCACATACTGGGTGCAGTCTCAATGTGGCAGCCCAGGACAGCAGCATGACCACAAGGGAAGATATATTATGTCACCCAGCTGTTGTTCCTTACTCTTTGCCTTGAATAAGAGCCTGTGCCCCTTCTTCATACAGCTGAGAGCACACTTCATCCAGCAGTTTGTCGTAATTGCCAACTTCCGCCTTCACTTTGTCCTGTAACATGACTCTGGCTCTTTTCACCAGCTCTGCTACCAGAGTTGCCCTGCAAAAGCCAATAGTAATAGCACAATAATTAAAAAACAACCACCAAAATATAGCCTGAGAAATTACAGGTTCAGAATTTACATCCTGAATCAGGTTTGCGGGAAAGCCTTCTATTAATGGTTTGGTGGATACTATGGTTTAACATGCGTCTGCCGTGAATCTAGGTGCATAAGAGGGAGACGCTCTTAAGCTTCTCACTGCCAATCGAAAAAAGCAGGATTTGTTGACCTAGAAACATAATGGTGTGTGTGCCAATCTTAACATTTTTCTATTGTTTATTACTGTAGGTCATGGCATAACTTTATATAAAATATAAGTGAGAATATGTGGATAAAGCTACAATATAAGCAGGCAGCAATCACACATGCACAACCTGATCAAAAGAGCCTAAAGTGTGTGTGTGTGTGTGTGTGTGTGTGTGTGTGTGTGTGTGTTACATTTGCCACAGAACTCACACTAAAAGTGAATTAAGAAGGGGAAGCATTACAAAAAAGACAACACATGAGAACAAACCCAAAGGAGCTTAAAAGCAATGTACTGGAGATTTAAAAGAGTAGGAAAATAAAAGGGTCTTTGTCAGGCACCAAAATGACTTGCAGATGACTTGCAGAGCTTCTGTAATGAGGTGAGCACAAAGAAGGCTTAGCACTTACATTTAATAATAAAACTAGTTGATGATCTCTCTCAATATTTCTCACATTTCACAATTCACCATCGCCATTTGCTCTACTGACAAATTTCACAACAACAATATAAGGGATGCACAAGACTAAGAGCTGTATCAGTAAAACCCACAGGCATGTCCTTGCATCATTTAAAAGCTGCCTGCTTATATGATTAATACAAGGGGAAAAGATCTTTCGACGTAAATTCTCCCCACCAGACCATTTATGAAGTCCAGCAGGTTACAGGTGCCTTTCCTGCCCTTACTTGATGTGCTTGACACAGTTGGATCCGATTCTCTCTGCCACGAATTCTACAGTTCTCCGCAGAGATGGGGGCTGATTGTGGAAGAAGGCTTGTTCCAGCTCTGCCTGTTAAAAACAGGAAGACCAAGAATCCTAAGGAAACCAAAGCATTCTACATGAAGCTCTCCCCCCCCCCAACACGAGCCATTCCTAAAGTATATCTGAATGCTTTGGTTGTTTATTCTATTTGATTGGCATTTTGTAAATGTAAGGGTGGTATCCAACTAAATTTTATTCAGGGCAGACCCACTGAAATGAGTGGGCATAATCAAGTCAATCAATTTCAATGGGTCAGCTCTGAGTACAGTGGTGCCTCGCAAGACGAAATTAATTCGTTCCGCAAGTCTCTTCGTCTTGCGGTTTTTTCGTCTTGCGATGCACGGTTTCCCATAGGAATGCATTGAAAATCAATTAATGCGTTCCTAGGGAAACCGCCTTCAGACCAGGTCCGGGGACAGTCTGTCCCCGGACCTCTTCTGAAGGCTGGGGGGGGACAAGGGCTTTTCTTCCCACCCCCAGCATTTTAAAAAACCCTGGGACAGCGGAGGACTTCTCCGCTGTCCGGGGCGATCTTAAAATGCTGGCGGGCGGCATTTTAAAAATCGCCCCGGACAGCGGAGGACTTCTCCGCTGTCCGGGGCGATTTAAAAGCCCCTGGGAAGGCAGGCAGGGGGACAAAGACTTTCGCCCCCTGCCCGCCTTCAGAAGGTGTTCCCGCCCCCCCCCGCTTCGGAACAGCTTTCCGAAGTGGGGCGGCTGGGGCAGGTGTCCCCGCCCCCCCTCCGCTTCGGAACAGCTTTCCGAAGTGGGGCGGCTGGGGCAGATGTCCCCGCCCCCCCCCCCCTTCGGAACAGCTTTCCGAAGTGGGGCGGCTGGGGCAGGTGTCCCCGCCCCCCTCCCCGCTTCGGAACAGCTTTCCGAAGTGGGGCGGCTGGGGCAGGTGTCCCCGCCCCCCTCCCCGCTTCGGAACAGCTTTCCGAAGTGGGGCGGCTGGGGCAGGTGTCCCCGCCCCCCCTCCCCGCTTCGGAACAGCTTTCCGAAGTGGGGCGGCTGGGGCAGGTGTCCCCGCCCCCCCTCCCCGCTTCGGAACAGCTTTCCGAAGTGGGGCGGCTGGGGCAGGTGTCCCCGCCCCCCCTCCCCGCTTCGGAACAGCTTTCCGAAGTGGGGCGGCTGGGGCAGGTGTCCCCGCCCCCCTCCCCGCTTCGGAACAGCTTTCCGAAGTGGGGCGGCTGGGGCAGGTGTCCCCGCCCCCCTCCCTTCGGAACAGCTTTCCGAAGTGGGGCGGCTGGGGCAGTGTCCCCGCCCCCCCCCTTCGGAACAGCGTTTTAAAATGCTGGGGGTCGGCAGCGCTGCCCCGACCCCAGCATTTTAAAACCTCCCGGGACACGGGGAGATTTTAAAATGCTGGGGGTCGGCAGCGCTTCGCTCCCGACCCCCAGCATTTTAAAACCTTCCCGGGACACGGGGAGATTTTAAAATGCTGGGGGTCGGCAGCGCTTCGCTCCCGACCCCCAGCATTTTAAAATCTCCCCGGGACAGAGACTTCTCTGCTGTCCCTTGGAGATTTTAAAATGCTGGGGGTCGGCAGCGAACGCTTCGCTCCCGCCGCCAGCATTTTAAGATCGCCCCGGGCAGGCGGGGGGAAGGCAGGCGGGGGGAGCAAAGACTTTTGCCCCCCGCCGGCCTTCAGAAGAGGTCCTCTTCTGAAGGCCGGCTGTGGGCGAAAGTCTTTGCTCCCGACCGCCAGCATTTCCCTATGGGCTTTCGTCTTGCGATGCAAGCCCATAGGGAAATTCGTCTTGCGAAGCGCCTCCAAAACAGAAAACCCTTTCGTCTTGCGGGTTTTCCGTCTTGCGAGGCATTCGTCTTGCGGGGTACCACTGTATGGTGATGGGTAGAGAAACGGAACATTTAAAATGTGGGATATTTTAATTACAAAAAAGAAAGCAATATCTTAGGCAATACCTTAAGTAATGCAATTTCACACATGAACAAATATTATTTTTAGGTTCAAAGGTAGGAAAGTACTCCCAGGAAATATCACTCTTGGTGACCTAGAATCATAAGCATATTTATTTGGTAATACCTTATATTTGAATGAATGCAGCTAAATAATAATATTTAGGCTTACATATACAGATAATTTTTCCAGACTGTATCAATATGTGCAAATAATCATGGTGATGGTCATTCATATTGATATATTCATCCCACTTCTCTGAATGGTGAAGGTTTCAGGGACTTTTGTAAGGACATCATCAGAAATTATATAATAGTGGGGTTTATTTGCCTTAGCTACACTGTTATCAGTTTTGTTTTCATAGCCCCTCCCTGCAAAAAAAACCCCACAACTACAACAACAGATATGCTTACAGAGTATCTGCAGTTCAAGACAACACAAAACACCACAATAATATATATTGCAGAAGGCAGTTCAAACAACCAGTGTAGAAAACTCATAAAACCATTGGCCTAAAGCCTGAATTCTTTATAAAGTTTTTACATGTTTCCTGAAAGCAGTGGGAAATCTGTTTATCCCTCTCTTTTTTGCTTTGGAAATGCATGCTACTGACTGTGACAGGAGAGGGTGCATTTTTTAAAAAGTCTTCTGTAAGTCTGTTGTATAATGCCAGTGTAGGGCACACAGACAATTCCAATACACAAAAGCAATGACAGTGATTGAAGCAGACTTATGAGCTAACTCTGAGATTGAGAACAGTGATGAGACATTTGGGGTGAAAGGGTTATCAAAAGATCAGTAGACTTCTTGCAAGCTCTCACATGTAAGGAAGGAGACAGGTTTCTGAGAGAACATGTGACCTTTTACGGACCTGGTTCTTTTACCATCCTGACTAATTATATACATATATGCAGACTAATTATATACATATATGCAGAAATGTTATACAATACATATTAGGAAGCACCATATTTCAACAGCATAATTTTATAAGTCTTTTGGTACAGTTATGTGCATTCTTGAATGTGTTTATGTGCTAGTTATTTTAGGAAATCTGGAGTGTGTACATGTATAGTATGTATACAATATGGTGTGTGTGTGTGTGTGTGTGTGTGTGTGTGTGTGTGTGTTTAATGGAACTGGTTAAAAAAACCTTTTGAAATCAAAGACTGAGATACACAGTATGTGTTTGTATGAGTGGATAAGCTCAATATCAACATCAACATGTTCAGAAAATTCCAGCTCTAATCTAGATCAGGGTTGATCAGGTCTGTACTGCAAATACAGGAGATCATGACATTGCTCCCCTCTCATACATGGTATAGTGTCCCCACCTAGCAATTACCTACCTTTACTATTAGTGCAGACCACCTGGTGCATAATAAGCCTTCATCTCTGTGCTATGTGCATAATAATCCATTTAACATCCTAGACTCTATTGCTTTCATTTGGCAACACCGCTTTCATTATAGTAGAATTACCTTAATGTTGAACATAGCATTGGCATTACATTCCTCCTATATATGCACCTGTTATATTTGGCATTTGTGGAAGTGACTTTGTATGGCAACCTATTTCAAAGCAAGCATTTAGGCTTCGGCACTAGTTTTTTTTTTTTTCAACAGAACAAACGAAACTGCAAGCAGATGTGTCCTCCCTTCCCCTACAGCATTTTGCAAAATGGAGAAGACACTGCTAGCACCATTTTTCCTGCCAGGGATCATGGGACTTGCACTTCAGATCCCATGATCTTTGGGAGAAAAGCTTCTGGTTTCATCACCACACCAACAATGCCTTCTTCAGCTTGTAAACACAGGAGAAAAGAGACAGACCTACTGGCCTCATTCAGGATGGAACTTGCTACTCTGCCCTGCCCACCTCCCCTTATTGCAGAAGCAGATTGCAAGGTGGCATGGAGTCATTACACTAGTTTCCTGGCAAATGGGTCACTGCTTGTTACTGGAGGGGATGTGGAAAGAGGTCAGCGCCATGCAAGTGCACCAGCAAAGCCAATCAGACACTCCTGCTAGTGTGCTTGCACTGTGCTGACCTCCTACTTGAATGCTTGTCCAACCATAGCAGGCAGATGCTATATTCCCAAATATGTACCCTATGTAAGGTCACATACATATCACACACACAGAGAGAGAGAGAGAGAGATTGTGTGCATGCATGCACACACATGCAGTGTTAGAAATTTAGCTCCCTGGGTTTTCCAGACCCTCCAAGTGTCCCTATTTTCCAGGGATGTCCCTGATTTAGAGAAACCATCCCAGTTTCTGATTCGATCCTAGGGTGTCCTGCTTTTCCTTAGGGTGTCCCTATTTTCATTGGAGAAATGTTGGAGGGTATGGCATTATCTGACCCCCAAGCCGTCTGAAGGCAATCCTGTATAGGGAAGTTTTTAAATGTTTAATGTTTTATTTTGTTTTTATATATGTTGGAAGCTGCCCAGAGTGGCCCCCAGTAAGATGTGTGGGGTATATTTTCATCAGAGAAATGTTGGAGGGTATGAGTTTTGTCATGACCCAAGGAAATTTAGAATTCTAGTACATCAAGCCACTGTGACCCATCATGTCAATATATTTAGGTTCTATGGAATTATTATTGGTGAATGTCAGCCACGAGCCAAATTCATCCTGAAAGTAATTCCAGTGAGGTCAAAGAATGAATGATGGATGCAACT